CTGTTTTGATTTATCTATTTAATTTAATGTTTGGCCATAATTAAATATGAGTTTGGGCATCTTAATTAGACTCTAGAATTACGTAATATGGGATTAGATTTTAATCTAATTTGTGAGTAGGATATAACTATATCTAGGAACTCCATATAATTGATAAAGAGTGAATATGATTTAATTATCCTCTTGAGTATTTGAGTTAGATATAACCTCAGCCCTGTCCGGTGTTAGATTTCGGCTCCGTCTCCTTGTCATGCACCTTCATCTACTTCTCTCCTCTTCCCTTGTTCGATCTATCCTCATCGTCACCAAGCCATGCTCGCCATCTCGAAGTGCTCGCCACCATCGGACCATCGAGAGCAGAGACAGGAGACTTAATCGGTTCCGTTACAAGGCAAGCAAGCATAAGAAAGGTCTAGCCATTGGCTTCTGGCCCATTACTGATTTGACTCGGATGACTCGGCTAGCATTCCTAGTCCTATCGCCAATTGGATCACCATCATCGCACCCATCTGGGTGAAATACAAACTATGTAGAACATAGAGAGATGAAGATGAGATGGAGAAAAAGAAAGCGATTTGTGTTCTGGGGGGGTTAATATGGTTATGGTAATATTTAAAAGCTATAAATAAAAAGTAATTAACTAAAAGAGGTGGTGGAATTGCACACATGGACGTGTTTCAGTTTGATGGTCAGCAGTAGCCCTTTGCTTGGAGTTTTGTAGAGATTTTTTTTTTTTTCCTTTTTTCCCTTTTGTATCTTACTTCTGTAATATATTAGGGAATTTTTATTTGAATTAAATCTAAATTTGATGATTATTTTCATATTAAAAAATATGTTGTGTAAATTTTCTAATTTAAATATATGTTAATCATTAAATTTAACTTCCTCCTATTAAAATAATGGAATATTATTATATTATGTAAATTGATAATTTTTTTCATCTTACATTATGTAATAAAAATCATGCCCATTTTAGTAATTTTAAAAATTAAACTTGCTTATTCAATTATAATCCAAACAGCTTCTACTTTTATCTAATTTAACTTTTCTAAAAGCTAATCCAAGTATAAATTACATTTTAAAAACCAAATTTAACTCAATATAAATTTTTTTAAAAAACAAATTAAAAATTAGCTACTTTTTGTACTGTCGATTTAAATAGACATTTTAAAAAAGAATTTTCTTACGAAATGTGGGATGAGATGAGAAATATTATTCAGATAAGTGGCATGCAACCTAATTTGAAGTTCTTTCATCTTATTTAAAGACTTGTTTAGCCACTTCTGATCCTTAATACAAGAGCTATTTATATATTTAAATTGGTTCTAAATTTAAGACCCTCGGTCCATTTTATCTTCAATATTTATTTATTTTTCCTTCGAGTAATGCTTATGGTGATTGTATATGTTTAAGAGTAATTCAAATACACATAATTAATAAGGGTATTTTAAAAATATGGTATATATTTATTACAAGGGTTAATATAATTTTTTATCCTTCAAATCTGCTCTCATTTTGATTTTGATCCCTTAAATTTTGAATCATAAGTTTTAGTCCGTCAGGGAATAAAATGGTCAAGACTTTTATTGAATTGTAAGGATTGATATTTTAAATGAAAAGAAACTTGTGGGATCAAAACTTATGATTTAAAAAACTTAAAGAACCGAAACTAAAATAAAGACAAATTTGAGAAATCAAAAATTATATTAACCGAAACTACAAATAACTAACTTAACTACTTTTCTCAATATTTACAAATTAATTATATATCTCTCTCAATATGGATAGCTAATATATATATATATATATATAAAGAGATATTTATAATTAAGCTAAGTAATCCTTAATATTTATTCTTATGCTAAGTAGGTTTGGTTGATATGAATATGTTGCATTTATCTACTTCTCATGCATGTTACTTTCAAACTATAGATGTGATTGTCTTTACAATAGAGGGGAAAAAAAAGAAAACAAATTAAAGAAAGAAGTTCTCAGATGAAGACAGGCATTAAATTCATGAAGGAAAAATTGTTATAATTATTATTGTGGCAATTACGTGATGAAAATAATCTAGGGAGAATGGCAATAAAGTCCCAAGAAAGCAATATAATTACTATAAAGCCTCAATGACAATTGAACAGCTTATAATGACAAATTCTAAAGTAGAAAATATGATTGTCTTTATAATAAGAGAAAAAAAGAAAAAGAAAAAGCACTTAAAGAAAGAAGTTCTAAGATGAGTACAGGCATTAAATTCATGTAGCAAAAATTGTTATAAGTATTATTGTGGCTATTACATAATGAAAAAAATCTAGAGAGAATAGCAATAAAATTCCAATAGAACAACATAATTACTATAAAATTTCAATGACAGCTGAACAGCTTGTAATAACAAGTTTCAGAGTAAGAAATGACAACTTATCACTTGTCATTTAGACTTTTAGGTAATTTTTTTTTTTGTACGGGACTATATTACAATTCTCTCAAAACTCTATGAACAAAACAAACGCATTTTGACGGCAGAAAGGCATAAACAATTCAAGCAAAATCTTAGATGACACTCAAATTTTGGTTTTGATCGTTATATTATTGTTTGTTGTTTTCCATTCATATATTTTATGGCTTCCAAAATGTTGGTCTCCAAAATTTCATTAAGATTTAAATTTAAGCTTAACGGCATGAACTTCACTAATATGGCATTCATAGTGTTAATGTTAAGTAGGTTGACATGAATTGCTGATTAAAATAAAACAGATGTGACAAGTAAATTACCTATCTAGCACTAAACGGAGCATCAATTTAAATAAAATTTTAGATATGAAATAAAGTGTAAATTCAAAAATTAAAAATAAAAAGAATAAAAAGGTTATAAGAATGAAGTAGAATTCAAGTTACATTAATATCTTCAGTGAATCTGGCTGGGGACTCAGCTAATAATAAAAATTTAAATTTTCTTTTGAAATTCGTATATTCGCAATGGAACTGGAATTGGTGTACTCTCAAGCGTCCACTTTCCGTATATATATGGAGGAGGAAGGAATTGAAAATAGTTTGACATCTTTTCTACTTCTTTTTCTCACTTCCGAGCATTGACCTAATATAAATCTCTAACCGTAAAAGGCTAAAACCACATTTTAAACGGAAATCCTAATTTTGGAACAATATCTACGCCATAAGAAGCCTCCCTTCTTTTTCATTCCCTCACAATAAAAACTTTCCCTTAATGAAAAGTTTCAAGAAAAACACAATCCCATGAAGAGAACAACAAACACATATATCAACAAAAACATCAAATCTATACACAACATCTCTCTTCGTACTCCTCGATTATCACTCATCATAAACACATGCTTATTCTTTTTCTCAACCATGGGCCATGGCTTCTTCTTCTTCTTCTCTTCTCTCAATAAATCCCTTGGACAGAGCAAACTTGCTCGTTAACGAGGTCTGCTTGGAAACGAGGAATCCGACGTTGTGTGTGAGATTCGCAAAATTTGGTCTGTCTAAGTCGCCAAGAAACAAAGTTGGAGAGATCAAAATAGCCCTAGGAATAGCCATAGACATATCAGGGATATCTGCCAATCACATATACAGAATGTTAAGGAGCCAAAAAGTGAGATCAGAATACGTGGGATTGTTCGAAACATTCATGAAGTCGTATGCTCAAGTGACGACAACCCTCAAGAGGACACGTTCTAGGGTTTGGAGAGATCCTATAGGAAGTGATGTAACACAAACGCACTCTCACACTTTCTAAGACAAGACAAAGCATTCGAGAAACTATAGGATCTCTCCATTTTGGCAACCAACCAGGTTTTGAAGCGATTGGTGTCGTTTGAGAAGGTTCATATATGACTATTTGATTGATAATGTACAGTATATTATTGTTTGTTTCTGAAAAAATTAAAAGGACGTTGTTTGTGACAATGATCGCCATTTTGGAAGGCAATTCTTGTAGAAATGGGTTTGAATGTTCTAAACATTGAATTATAATTAAAAATTACTCTCTTATGTCATGAATATAAGAATTATGTATCTAATTTTCACATATTGGTTAAATTAGTTATTTGTCAAAATAAATTTGCATCGTAATTTTTTCCAAAAAAAATTCATTGAAAATGAAACTACTTTTATTGATGAATTCATTCAATGTATACAATCTATAAGAATAATTTTGAAAAAAATTAAAAATTTAGAACACGAAATAAATTGAAGTCCTCAATTGAAACCAAAACAATATTTCAGTTAGCCCTTACATTTAAGAGCAAAAAGAGTATTTGAAATTGAAAATTAATTGAAATAGACTTTAATTGAAAGTGGTAGCTAATGAGTAATTAATGTTAAAATTCTTGCAAATCTTCCAATGAAATCTAAGAAGAAAGATACTTACATGAAATAAATCCCGCACGTAATAGCAACGCCTCCAATTGTTGTGTGTGTTGACCAAACCCAGATTGACACAACTATAATGAATATCCCTTCGATCCTAAATATAAAATCCTTATACATACTAATATAAATGTCTTATATTTAGAAGCGGAGGAGTAAATGATTTTCAATCAAATCAAGCAGCATGCATTAGTTTAGAAATCAAACTTGGTACCAAGTCTTTGTCAACTTGTTTCTTCGGGTCTTTCTCATTCCTTCGGTAAGTTATTTAATAGATCATTATTTAATAAAACACCGCTACTTTTGACACCCGATGTGATGATACATGATACATGATACTCTTACACTATTTCTTTATCCAAATAATGTTTTCATGTTAAGACAAAATCACGTATCAGAATACAACTTCCAAACGGACAAGCCACAAAATAACTCAATCATTGCAAGGACACCCCCCTCCCCCAAAAAAAAAAAAATTCATGCCATCAAATATAGAACTTACTTAAATAGGCACATCTAATCATATCATTCCCCACTTTTTCTTCTTTCAAAAAGATCACATCTTTCCGGTAGATGAAGAGGCCTCTCTAATCTCCATGGACACATGACAGTTTTTACAGATGGGGAAATTTCTCAGAATCACAACTATAAGTATGTACACACAAAAGAATAACCTGCAGTACTGAGATGTCATACACATACTTGACAGTTGGAGGGGGGGGGGGAAGATAAAGAAATTGAATAAGACAATATCTCTTCGCCTCTCAAAACAATTACAAGCACACATTTCTATGCTTTTCATAAGGGCTAGGATTACAACAAAATGACCAAACTTTTATACCGAAAGGACCAATCAATTCAACTCCTCATTTCCCTTTAATCTCTTAAAAAGAATTCAAAAGATCTTACATTTTCTATGTTGATTCCTTGAATTTCAAGGAAGGAAAACCATCTGTAACCATCTCACCTATTTGCAGCAGCGTAGCTTCTGCTTTCAGTGACATTTGAATTGCCAAGGACATCTGGTGCAATTTCCCAGCTCTCACTTCTCCTTCCCCAACTTGAGTGCCGGATGTCCGATCGGATTGAAGGGGCTCGATGATCTGAACCGAAAGCTGAATCAACTTCAGATGTATTGTGGGGAACTCCGTTGCTTCCTCTGCTACGAATATCCTCATCAATTTCTTCAATGTTCCTCCGTTGAGAAATCTTCAATAAATCTTCACCAATATCCAGATCATCTTCAACCTTCCGACGGGGATCTCCACCCAGATCATCTGGTTCAGGCTCCCGGGGAGTGACTGCTGGGGGTGGCCTCCGTAACTCCTCAGAAACAAAGGCCCGGAAATTGTTCCTTGAGGGCTTTACCTTGGTGCAAAATACTTCAAGAAAATTATTTAAACAGCCTTGATTATAAACATTAACTCTGCTATCAGATCTGTACCGGAAGTTTTCATAGGTAGTCTGCAAAACAAGGGGTATAAACCAAGGTGATGAAGACAATTAGAAAAAGAATAGTAAGAATCATTTTCCACTTTACAGGAAGTAAATCAGTGTGACTGTAAACTATGCGGATATGGACAGGAAGCACTTTCTATCCTATTAGCCATCAGCTAAAAACTACAGTTTAGCCATTTTGGCACACATTTGGCAGATATATGCAAGCTGAAAAGCTGACCAACATGAGCAAACGTTCTTTGATTCACCTATATTTTCATGATTGCGTCCTTGTTTATCCAGCATGATGTAAGCATGAGGTTTCCATAGATACACAGAAGGAGATCTAATATATAATATGGAATAAAGATGAGAAAGTAAACAATGCCCCTTCCATGTTATTTTTCTTGTTTAAGAGGGCAGTTTAGTCTTCTGCTTAAAATAATTCCAGTCTCTCTCTCTTTCTGTTTTACCAAACATAACTCGTTAAGAAATTTTGTTTCACACATACATCAACCATCATTTTTCCACGCTTATTCCCACTCTATTCCCATTTCATTCCTCTCCATCATTAAAAATCTTTTCCCTGAACCAAACAAGGTCTTAGTAAGAATCTAGTTAAGAAGCATACTTGAAAATAAACATAGACAAAATATGAAGCACGAATGTAAGAAATTGACTAACCTGATTAGTACCTATGAGGTACAAATGAAAGCCCGTAAGCCCACCAACAAACCACAAGGAGAAGAAACAATAAGCCATCAGTATCACAGACGCAGGAGATTCTTTCATTGCCTTCCAGACGGTCCCATGATAATTATCCATAAGAACCTTAATGTAGAAAGCTGAGAAGGAAAACACATATATGCAAAGAAGGGTTGCTGATGAAACAAACAGAAAGAAGTAACGGTAGTTTCTCTGCACGTAGAATACCCAGCCAAAGAAAAACAAGAAGCAACCAGTCAAGAGCATCAGTGAGAAATAAAACGCATCCAAAAAAAAAAAAAACAATTGTCACCCATGTCAATTATCCTACCAGTCCAATGCACTGACCCACCCAAGGGCAATGGTGGTCAAATCGTTCAACACAATTGTTGCAGATGGAGCAATGTGAGCAACGAGGAGGACGATACAGCATACAAGTGTCACAATACTTCACTTTTACAGTACAGCCATTGACTATTACATCCTTGGTTCGAGGGAACTGAAGGCCAGGTGTTTGTCGTCCTCCTTCACCAGCAACTGAAGAGTCATAACGAAATTCTTCCTCTGGTGGATGTGAATTTCTTGGAATAATGCCCGGATCACGAGATGAAGTAAGAAAGAGAATCACCAGTACCTATAAAAACAGATCAAGGAATTATATTGTGTGGAAGACAAACCCTAGGAAGCCAGTCATTTTAAGAAACCAAAAAAGAATAAATACAAAAGGTAATATCTCATAGGAATGCATAACTGAAAACTTAAATACTTGGTTTATTCCAACTTTTAACGGCCTACTAAAAACATGTTGACTTATTAATATATCTTAGTGGAAAATTCAGCTGACGCATGGATAAAAACACAGGAAAACATTATTGCGATCATCAAAACAGCTTCCAACACTACTCTAGATAATATGGAGAGCTCGCATCAAAAGATGCATCAAGAATATCTCCCATCTTCACTGGTAAAGAATATTATTAAACAGATCATTACAAAAGGCCCTAGCACAGTTGAAAGGTATACAATGCGTCAGAAGAAATGCATCACCATTTAAATACTTCAGGTGTATTGCTATTATTAACTCTTAAAATCTTATACAAATTAAGTACAGAATCTTCAATACCTTACAGAAATTGCAACTCAAGCGTAGGTTCAGGCAGAGAAAATGATATCATGATCACAAAAACAGCTTCCAACATCACTAAGGTAAATTTGAAAAAAGCAAGAAATTGCATCAATAAATACATCAATAATTTGTTTCCATCTATTCTATTTACAAGGCTAAAGTACCCACAGGTCAGATGTCCTTGGTCTTGGTCATGAAGATATGTTGGAAGAAAAGGGAAAGAGGAAACCAAGTACAGAATTTTTTATCTCTTATAGAAACTGCAACTCAAGCGCAGGTTCAGACGAAGAAAATGCTATCATGATCGTGAAATCAGCTTCCATCCTTACAACAGTAAATGTGGAAAGAGGAAGAGATAACATCAATAAATACATCAATAATTCGTTTCCATCTATTCTATTTACCAGGCTAAAGCAACCACAGATCAGAAGAAGCAACCACGGATCAGAAGTTTGGTCTAGGTCATTAAGATATAGAGGAAGAACAAAAGGCTTGGCACCTAATATGGGTTCTGGCTGCATCAATGTGGTGTTTTTAGGTTGGAAGGAAAAAGGAAGGCGCGCAGGGAACATAAAAGACTCAACACTGACCACCATGTGAATCACTACACGTCAGCAGAAGCTTGTTTTAGAAAAAATATTTCTACTTGTTTGTGACACACAACATTATTGAAATAAAAGATCGAAGAGTAGCTATACCAGATATTGTATAGCAGGTGAAGTAACAAAGGTAAAAGTGGAAAAGTAATATTACTCCAGTCCTTAATCTAAATACTACTCCCTCCTCCAGCTCAAAATATAAGCTAAACTTTGATGGAAGGGTTTGATTTTTTTTTTTTTTTTTTTTGGGGATAGGATAACATTTACTTTTATCTAAGCATTTAATGTATGTTTTCCAATTGTAACCCCATATATTCTCTTTCCTCTTTAATTCATTTAACTTTTACTTATTCTCTTCATTAATAAGGGCATATATGAGAAAAAATACGTGCCTTACATCTTGATAAACATAAATAGATAAAGTTTATGTTATAATTTGAACCGGAGGGAGTATCTAACTAATTTGGATAAATTAAGGAAGCTAAATAAATTACTTAATTCTAACCATGATCTCCCTAAAATATCCCTATGTAACATTAGATTATGCACTGGGGGAAAATAGTAAATATGAAAGATCAAATAGATTAAAATCTTACATTTAGAACTAAAACTAACTCCATAACTAGCTTTTACATTTAGGACTAGAGTATAAGATTTACAAAACTAACATATTTGACGTCTGGTAATGCAGCTGAAGATTATAATGATTTAGGGAAACACCAAGTACCAGTTGTTAATTAAGAGATGGTGTTTTATTTGAGTCATCATCGACCATGTTCTATTGGTCAAAAAAAAAAAACGGAGCTGTTCAAGAAAATGTTGTCAGCTAACTTCATTAAATTAAAGAATGAAGGAGAAAACGCAGTAAAACTTAGATTACTTGAGAACATGGAAAGGAATTGTCAAATAAGATAATTAGAAGGAAGTGGTATCTTTCTAACATCCAAGATGGAAGAAAAGCATAAGAAAACTACGGAATTAGAGAGAATAATATATTAGATATTTAAAAACCAAATGAAGAAAAGCTTAACAAACTTACATAAATAGTAAAGAGAATTGCAATCGCTAGAAGAGCATATCCAGCATTATATGAAGAAAATTCATGTCGAAGATGCCTTGCTACAAATACACAAAATATGATAACTGGAACAGTGATCAGCAACAAGGTGACCAGCAAAGACCTGGCATCAGGCCCAAATATTAACCTTCCTCCACATATGAACTTCTGCATAACATTAATAGCGTTAGAAGGAAATAACCAATAACATTTGACAATAATAAAATAATTCATGACTGACTACGAGCTTTTAAAAGGGAATCATGATCTCTTCATTCTACTGATTCAGGCAACGTGATTGTTTTCTTTTGCCAAGGGAGGAGGGACAGTAGTCACGAACATGAAAGAAGAAATCACAATACACAATAGAAACATGATCATGGCATTCAATATTCAACTTCAAATCATAAAACCAGTATAATCATGGATGACAGGCTAATGCCACTACTAAAACCCCAGAACTAAACCAGCAAAGTGCTACATGATACCAAGAGGATATTATTAGAACATAGAAAGGGAAATTAAACAAAAGCCAAACATTGATATAATCGTTTTAAATGCACATATTCTCACTAAGGTTGCTATAATATAGTTGGCTCATGATAGGACACACTAATGAGACATGGTAATGCAGCAAAATTGTGTGATGCATTATCGTGGACTCCCAATTGGTCCTGGATATTAAATAAGTTTCACAACTGGCAAAGTTGGAGGTTGAACCCTCACTCTTTATCAAGCAACATCAATAAAGACGCAACAGCATATGGTAGGGAACAATCAATGAAAGCAGTAGCCAGAAATGGGATTTTAGGCACAAGTCCCACACATAACAGATATTTAGAAAAAGGAGGTTTTTCTGCCTTAGTTCCAGTATGTTAAGAAGTAAAGGTCTTGAATATAGCTATTTCCTTAAAAGGACATGAAATAACCATGGCAACATAATATAGTAGGTTAACAATCAATTAGCATTTTTACAAACACAAGATTGATCACTAGAAAATTATTTAAAGAGCTCCATTCTCAACTATGATCATTAATTCACATAGATCACAAAATCAAGCATTAAACCAGATTTATCCTCGGTTACTAAAGTAATCTTCTACACTTCACTATGCAATCAAAGCTCATGAAAGAGACCTAATCCCAATTCAACCAAATAGATAAATAAATAAAATCTGCTCACACTCCTAGCATATACCAAATTGTACCCCACAGTCATCAGCTAAGACACTCAGCTTTAACAAAATAAACACTCATCCCCGTGTATAACCAACTTGACCCTGAAGTCAACTCTCTTTGTATAACAAAATAAACCTGTACATTCTTTCAATAAAGCAAATAAATCATAAGTCATAACGTGTTGAAACCTCATGGGTATTAACCTAGCTTCAATTTCTGTTGAAGAAGGGAGGAGAACTGCAAAGGCCAGAGTCTTGACAGTAATTACATGCATATCAGTTATCACACCTTTTTTCTCTTTTACTGCACTTTACTATAATTAAAAAAATAAGGAAATAAGAGAAAACTTTCTAAACATAAAATAAAACTGCACATTCCTTCAATTTTTTAGGCTTAGTTTTGAACCCTTACCTGAGTGATTTATTTCTACGCAAATCTTTAAATTTCTTTTGTATATACAAGAGATGAAGAGGCAGAACTTCTCCAGATCCAGATATATTAATGAAGATAGATAGATTCATAAACCATTAACAATATAACACCAATTCTCATAGTAATGATAGCAATTATAAAAGCCTTCAAGTTCCAATCCCAAATTTAAGCATATCTGTTATAGCAAGTTCATGCATCGGAGTCATTAGATTCTTCATGCTCAAACCCACTAAAGTGTCCAAACTATTATAGCAATTTTCCTTTGTCTTATAAGTGTTTATGTACCAAAAGCCTTTTCACATTACACATATCATAGGCATCAATGTGATACCTAATCCTATCATGTTAAGCCAACATAACTTGAGTACACCAACACTCTTTGATTGGCATTGCTTATAATTAATATTCCATTCATAATCCATTGATATGATAGGTCCCACTTAGGGGAGGGCCCTGTTGAAGGAGCTGCTGGTTTACCTTTGAGCAAACATACCAGTATTCAAATGAACCAGTATCTTAGCTCTTAACAAGCAGATAGAAAAGCCATTTCTAAATTATCTGTGCCAGTTGCCCAAACAGCTTGGTGAAATTTCAAAAGAACGCTCCCCATTATGGGAGGCAGCATTATTTGCAAACTAAACAATGCGAGAGTGAAGAAATTATCATTCCAAGATTTTTTTTTGGGGGGGGGGGGGAGGGAGGAAAAAAGAGCTCCCCAACTATTGTAGCCCTAACAATCTCAACCCCAAAGAACCAAACAGAAAATCAACCAAACCCCAGAATAAATATACTTCATAGCTTGCTCACATTTGTAACTCTCTTTTAGCCAAATCTACAAGCTTATCTTGCTGAGAAGATCTAGCAAAACTAAAATATCAAAACTTTCAAATTCCGCATTGATCTTTATTACTAATACTAATTTTTCCCAAATACAAAGCAACTCCCCAAATACAAAGCAACTCAACATGTTGAGCCCACACTTCGATTGCTTTAAAGTACATAAAAGGCTTATGTATTGCTTCTGATATATTTTCCTACTAATAAAGAGAATACGAGCAGCTTACTTCAGGGTTAAGCAGACGAGAAATGGCCAAGATCAGTAATTGATCAGAAATAATATGGGATCAAATAACCCCATCCAATGCTATTCTCAAGGCTCCGTGGGTTCACATCAACCCGCCCAACAGAACATAAACAAACACAATGGAGAAGAGAATAGGGATACACTAAGAGAGAGGGAAACGCCTATTCAAGATAGAATAGCCAAAATGCATAATCTCAAATCCCTCGCAGAATGCATACGATCCATCAACTTGAAAAGCCAACAAGAGAATGATAAAAAGCGAAGCAAAAATTTCGTACCTTCAGTTACATTCTTAACCATTCATAAACCTAAAACTTTCCCCACAACCACAGCAAACATAGCGCACACCCAGACGGAATATCAAGTAGTAGATATAAAATTGAGCAGAAGAACTAGAAGCAGAGAGGGAAAAAAGCATTACATTACTTCCTTTCCAGACTTCGTACACGCGCTTTGCCATGAAGAGCTGTACACTGACTGTTACACAACTAGACAGGGCAAGAAAAGAAGACCCGAAACTTGCAAGCGTTCATCTCATAAGCATTTTCCCCTTCAAAAACAGTCTCACCCCAACAGTCCCAGTGGATCAGAGTTCGATTAAGGGGTAAAATCCGAGGAAGCACAGTGGGAATCAAGGGGCTTTATGGAAAAGTGAAGGGGAAAAGAAGCTCAAGAGAGAGACAAACAATCAGTGACCCAGCGATGGCGGTTTTTGAGTTTGGAAATTTGGAAGTATGCTTTAGGGGCGGGGGGGAGAGAGAGGGACGAGGTGGATGTTTTCGGGGGAAGATATAAAGAAAAAAAAAATTGAAAAACCATTTGAAGTCCAAACAGTAAGCCGATGAAAGACAGAACCCTTGCCGTCCCACTCACGTCACTGTTTGTGGAGTCTGACGCCCCCATTCCTCGGGTCAATTTCCTAGATTACCCTTCATAAATTACCCATTTACCACTTTATCACTTTTTTTTGGTTTTAATCTGCTTGCCACGTCATCACATCTAACGGTCACAGTCCTTGATAGAGATAGTCCATCTTCTTTGACCATCATTCCGTCGCATTAACTTTAAAAATATTTTCTATTAAAAAACAAATCTTCCAATTATATTAATTTCTTCTGATTGGTACGATTGGATTAGATGTTAGACATATGATCGACCCATACATTAATTGTCAATTTAATTTAATTTTCATTTTAATAGGATAAAAAACAGTAAAATATGTTTTTAAAATATAAATTTAATAAAAATAAAAGATTCTGGGAAACACTTTTTTGTTGCCTTGAAAATACTTTATTGTGACAAAAGCTGGACTTGTAATAATGATAATTAAAAAGATTTGGGTAATTGTTCAGCAAAAAAAAAAAAATTGGGACAATACCATTTAAATCTAGTTAAAATACTAAAATTTAAAATCAAGTCTTTATTTGAAACTTCTAATTGGATCCAGAGACCTAATTAGATATTTATAAATATGGTTAAAAGACCAAAATACTTCTCTATGATTAAAATATAAACAGATAATTTTATATTTTTCTTCTTTACAAATTTTTTTTAAAATATGAAAATAATAAGTTATAACACTGTTATCAATCCAAAATCTGTGAAAAAAACTCGTTATCTGAATGAGTTTTGTATTCTTGAAATGTATGTGAGCTCTATTAAAAAAATGTACGTGTTTAATAAAAAAAAGTGTATGGGTGCATATATTATTAAGTATATGGATGATGGATCAATATTAAAATTGAAAAGAAATTAAGCCTATCCAAAATTAAAATATATTAGTGATCTACACTGTTAAATTAATGATAGTGTTGCAGTGATTATTAATATGAATTAAGGATTGCATTGTGATTTTTTATTATCTACTAAAGATCTACTGTTTTCAAATTTCAGAAAAATCGGGCAAAAAAAAAAAAAGAATTTATGGGGAAGAAAATATATAATAAATAGCAACTTATAATCATAGAGAGATATTCTAGACTTTTAACAATATTTATAAATCCCAATTATGCTTTTTAGCCTGATTAGGAATTTGTTCAATATGTAAGCCTAATTTTAAATTTTAGTATTTTAATTAGATTTAATTGAATTTAAATGAAATTTCTCCTAAAAAAATTGTGTCATTTATGTCTCCTATATGATAGCCAATAAGATATGCTAGCTCCGGTACTAATTATACGACTTTATTTGCAATCTATAAATAAGATCTTATAATTAAGACTGGAGGTAATATAATTTTAACTCTCATATATCGTTGTCAAAGTCATTTTTGTTTTAAAAATATTCACGCAACAACTATGATTATTTGAAAGTTTTTTGAATCAATAACGCCACTATAAAAAAAGTAATATCACCATAATTGTCAAAAAAACTAATATTAATTGTTAATATTTTTTTAACAGTTTGGATAACATTACTCCCTTTTAATACTTTTCAAGTGATATTAACATAAAAACACTTCTAGATATTCATAATGGCTCTTAATCTTTTTTTTCCTTAACACGTTGATAAAAAAATTTATTTTATATTCTTATTCATTTAGCATCAAAAGAAAAAAGTTGGAGCCTTATAACTTAAATGAACAAAACATTTTAGTAAGACTTTTTAAAATATGAAACTGTAATTTCAAACGCTATAAAAAAATAAATGCATGAGTTATGATAAAAAAATTTAAAAAAATATATAACAGGAAATCTTTTGTAATTGAGTAAAAAATAAAAAAAATATTGAAATATGTCATTTTGACGAATACTTTTTTAGAATTCAAAATGAAAAAGAAAAGCAAAAAATAAAAATGCCGCCCAAAAAAAATATTAAAAGGTAAGAATCTTGTGCGTCTGAGCACAGTGGAAAAGGGTGTGAGCCCAAAAGCATAGGAGGAAAAAGCAGAAATTGATTATTGGGGGCTTCCCAGGCCTTGCTTGACCATCAAACATGCTTTCGTCAGCCTTTAGTTCCCTTTAATATAAAAATAAGCGGACTGTATATAATATAATTAAGAAATAACATCTTAATTAAAAAAAATGGACTTACAGATATTTATATTGGGGAAATTGTAAAAAAGACCTTGGAATTGTAAAAACGCAGATAGGGACCCTTGACAACTTCACTTTGGGTTTTGACAAGAATAATATGCCCTGAAGTTGTCAAAACCCAAAGTGAAGTTGTCAAGGGTCCCTATCTGCGTTTTTGCAATTCCAAAGTCTTTTTTTACAATTTTTCCTTTTATATTTCAGACAGGTCAGCTCAATTCTCAACTTGACTTAGTTCAATAAATTATTTTGACATCTCAAGCTCAGTGGGATTCAAAAATATTGGGTACTTTAGGTTAGGCTGCATGACATTGGCCAACTTGATTTGATTCTATTGATTTAAAACCACTTGATAGGGACTTTCGTAAAAAGTTTAAATTACTATTTAAAGGTAAAATATAAAAAATACGGATTAATATGAAAATTTAATTTTTACAAATCATTTTGTGACTTCAACAAAATGTTTTTTTTTTTTAAATTAATTACCCCACCAAACGAAAAGGTTGAAATAAAAATGTATTGATATAACTTATGGGGAAAAAAGTGTTGGTAATGGATAAATTTTTGCAATTAAACATGTGTTTAGGCATAACTAAGAGTGTGCAAAAATTGAGTGAGACTAAATTGAATATTAACCAATGCCCAATCTTTGTGCATTATAGTCTATGACCAACCCAGCATACAAAACTAAGCTTGACCCAACCCATAAAAAAATACAAAATAAAATTAGAAAAAAATGTAAATGATTTTATTTATATAAAAACCATAGTTATCTTAATCTAAAATATATTTCCTGAAAAAATTATATTTTCCAAATTATAGAAATTCAATGATTATGCATATATTTACATAATATTAAGTTAAAAATTCATTTAAATTTTAGATAAATTAAATCATTGAATTATTTATAATTTTCATGGTAATATATAAAATCAATTTAGTTATCGAAAAAAACAATATCATAAAATTAATATTGATAAAAATTTAAAATTATTATATATATATATATAGAGAGAGAGAGAGAGAGAGAGAGAGAGAGAGAGAGAGAGAGAGAGAGAGAGAGAGAGAGAGAGAGAGAGACCCACGGTTGGTTTGAGTTACACCTCTGCTTAGAGCTGATGTCCAATCTAGCTTGTTCTCCAAGACTGTCTCAGGATATGAGATGTTCCATCAACAATGTGTCCTGTGCTACATTTTATAATATTTTCATGTTCACATATTATATACACAATACACTAAATAAGTATTACCTTTTGGCAAAAAAAAGAAGTATTATCTAATTCTTTGATATAAGAATTAGTTTTATATTTAATTTAGTTTTTAATATTATTTAATCTATTTTAATTTTTTTTTTTTTTTTTAAGTAATCAGTATGGTAATTACATATGTTAAAATTTTTTATCAAATTATAATTTAAATGTGCATGATTAATAAAAGCATTTTACAGAATATAACATCCATTTATTTTAAATAGCTCGCCTAATTAAGGACAGAAGGTATAATAAATCTATAATATATTGCATATTAACTTGTAAAATCATATTATATGCTCAAGAGGCTTTGGCGACAAATTCTTCTTATTTATGTATGCATTTTATTTGTAGACCATAGTAACACTAGTGATTAACATATTAAAGGAATGGTTTCTTTATTTTGCTGTCTTTCCTCCTTCCTGTCGCCGTAATACCAAAACGCATAGCTGCAATTTGACACTTGTTTTCGGCGTATCCTTCTTTTAGCAAATGTAAAATGTTTGTGGTTTTCAAAGCATATATTCTTTGCCTTACCAAAGTTACTTAAAGTGTTTTACGTAGTCCTAGGCAGTATTATTGTCATTACTTTTGAACAGCAATGCAATCTTCCTAGTGTCGTTCTTGACTTGTTTCGAAATTCCCACATAATTATTGCTTGCTACTGATCACATATATTTTGCAATAATTTAATACTATTTCTTCTACTTAATATTTAATTTAACTTTTATGTTGGTTCAAAATACAAGATTTTAATTTATTTTATTTCTCATATTTATCTTTTTTTAAGATAATCTCTATAGTAATGATAGTTCTAGTTAATATACTTGATTAGTAAAGATATTTAAAAAAATAGCACTTATTTATTAGAAAATAAGTAACTTAATTAATTATCTTAATCTATTTAAATTATTCAATTAGTTTTTATATTAAGGATAAGAGGAAAATATATATGTGTGTGTGTTACAATTTAGTATAATATATGTGATGTGGGTGAGTATATATACATATGATACAATTTTGTTCGGAGGAATCTATCATAATTTGCCTTCGCTATTGAAGAGGGACTCATAAGAATGAAATTCATATACACAACAAATTTTCCCCGCTTTTTGATAAATAGACTTCTTGTAAGACAAATCATATGAAATTAATTAATCAACATACGTATATATGGAATTCCTGCAATATGGAGTATCAATGAAAGACTTAATTAACCAACAATAGTTGGTCCAGTTGATAAGGAGTCAGTTCATAACCCATAAGATCGTGGTTCGAATCCCACTGTCGATGTGAGAACCTTATTAGTGAGCGATCTGTAAATACCTCTTTGAGCCTTCTCTGAGACTAAGAGGCACGCCTTGACCCTGGTAAGCTCCCAGAACTCAACTCACCTAAATTTTTTTGTAGTACAAAAAAAATGAAAGACTTTATTAATGCATTTCATTATTTTAGAATGGACCCATAATTAACAAAA